GTTACTAGGAAGACACCAGCTCAGGACATTTCTATCCCAGCCACAGGAAATTCCCCCAAAGACCTCAGAGAGAGACCAGTATGGTAGGTAGGGCTACAGGTTTGGAAGCAGGCCAACCTTGCTTAAACACCTGTTTCCCGAGTAAGTCACTTAACCTTCTCTGGGCCACGGTTGCCTCATCTGCACCCACCTGTGCAGATTGTTATGTGAGAGAATGGAAGTTAAATACTCCATATAATGCCTGGGATGCCAGAATTACTCTGAATGGGTAGAATCCTGGTCAGTCCGTCACCCTGGGGTGTGCCCTATTGGGGTCTGGTTGCTGGGGCTGGGGCTGAGGGTCAACTGTGTTCTAGATCCCAGCCTGTGGCAGGATCATGTGGCCACATGGCCAGAGCCCATGGCAGGACACCACTCTTGCCAAACAACTTATACTTCTGAGCCTCAGTTTCCTCACCTTGGAAATGGAAGGTGCACAGTCCATAAAAGCTGTTATCAAGGGCTGCCTGGAATTCCCATGATCTCTCTCAAGAAGGGAAGCTCTGAGGGTGTGTGAGCAAGGACACCGGACACCAAAACAGGCCGGGGAGGAGGCACTGTGGGCAGAGGGGAATTCCGAATAAATAGGTTGTTACTCCTTTCCCAGGGTGGTCAAAATTATAGGCCCACAGAATGGGCCAGCTGGGTTTGGAAGACGCTGAAGCCACAGCGCTGACACCATCTGCTTTGCAGAGCAGGACACCAAGGCCCAGAGCTACTAGGTAATGGGCTGGGGAGCATACACTGCGTCAGTGAAACCTAAGGCTCCAGACAGCGTTAGGGAATATCTTTCAAGTTTTAAAAAATATGGTACTGAATTCTCCTTTGAATTTGCTCATTGACCTCTCTTCTTTGGAGAATCGATTTTAGCTTGATTTAGAAAATTCTAGGGTTGTTAGTTCCTGCAATTCCACTTCATGATTTCCCTCTAGTGCTGCTGCAGGGGTTTGGGGGTCTGGGGGGAGCTTGGCGGGGTCGGTCACTGCTTTCAGGTCCCTGAGGGCTGGGTAACCCCTTTCTGCAGGAGGTGGTGACAAAGGAGGACCTGGGTGTCCTGTCATCTTCTGTGGTAGTAGAGGTCCTGGGGGTCTGTGGGAGGGGCAGGGCGAGGCCTTGGGGAACTTGAGGCTCACTAGTCTGTGTGGCCTCAGCCTTAGGGTGAACAAGGTGCATCCAGGTGGCAGCAGAGGCCCCGCAGGAGGCTCAGCTGGCATCATTAATGGCAGTCCGAGAGGTATCCAGCAGTCTCTCTCGCTCGCCCTCCTCTGCCAGGGGCTGGCCCCGGGACAGCCGGGTCAGCAGTGGGCGGTGCAGCCCATTGTAGAGGGCAGTGCCCATCAGGAGGATGATGAAGCCGAGGATCTGCAGCGGGTGGAAGGTCTCCCAGCCCAGCGCCAGGCTCAGTGCCCAAATGACGACGGTCCGCAGGCTGTCCAGCACCATGCGGGTGGTGGCACTCATCTCCTTGGTGACGCTGATGCCCGCAAAGTTGAAGAAGGCGATGCTACTGATGTTGCCCAGCAGTGCCAGGGCGATGAGGGGCTGCCGGCCCACCTGGCAGAATGCATCTAGTGCATCCTCCAGCATCCCTCGAGGGTTTCCGCTAAAGGAGCCGGCAGGGATGTAGTACATGGGCACCAGCAGCAGGGACAGGATCACAAAGCCAAAGAGGCCTGTGGGAGAGGAGGGAGCACGTCAAACTCTCTGCTTGGCCCCAACTCCCAGCACATCGGGGTCAGCAAGGCCTCCCCAGATCTCCTGCCACCCCTTCCTAGTGGCCCTCTAACGAGTGCCTTCCTTTCAGGTCCTTGATGTTGGGGAAATGGTCAGGTCAAGATCATAGTTTGCATCTCACCCAAACTATTCCTTACTGGTTTCCAAACTCATGCTCCCCATGTCTTCACTCTGTCTGGGGTTCCCTCCTTCCCACTCTGCCTGTTGAAACTGCAGCTCAAATGCCACCTTCCCTGGCCCAAGACACTCAGATATGGTTGGCAGATGAAACATCACTTGAGCACAAGTGGTCTGAGCTCAAACACACTGCTTGGTCATTTCTTGCTGGTCGGCTCTTCTAGGGTGAGGCTCACAATTAATTCATCGTCAGCCTCATCGTCCCTGAGCTCCTGGCCACATGCACAGCAGGCGTCAGAGTATTTGTCAACACATATGTGGTGAAGGGAGGAAGGATGGGGGCAGCATGCTCACCCCCTCCCAGTGGTCCCCGAGACCTGGACTGTGCTCCTACGCGTGCCTTCACTCCACGCGCCACCCTCTAGTGCACCCCCCGACCAGCGCCCTCCCCCCAGCCCACGCTCACACACCCTCAGTGCCAACTGCCCGCAGGGGGTGCACATTGTGCTTGTAGACGAACTTCTCCTCTAGCACCATCTGGATGGAGACGACGACCTGGGCCATGATGATCAACAGGTCCCCTGTGGGAAAGGATCAACAGGGCCCAGGGTGAGGGAGGCAGGGTGAGCAAAGCCACGGGGCTGTTGGCAGGGTTGTGAGCCCAAAGCTGAGGGAAGACAGCTCCCCTGGGGGCATAACAGCCCCTGACTACTGCAGGGACCATATAGTTCATGAGGCAGTCATGACTGCCCCCATGCCCGATCTCCTGGCTCCTGAGGGGTGGGGCAGGCACTGTCTCCCCTCTGAGCTGAGGTCCCAGAAGGTCCAGAGGCTGCACAATGGAGTAAGCAGGTCTTCTGAACACAGGTTTGGAGATAGACATTTCTGGTTTAATCCTATCTCTGAGTGACCAGGGTGGTCATTTCATTGTAGAATGGGCTGCACTGCTTTCTTTGCTCGGCACGAAGTTGGTCACTTAGTAAGTGCTCAATAAACGCTTGTTTCTCTCCTCTCCCAAATCCAGCAGTTTGTGTGCATACAGGTACATCACAGCACAAGCCCTCTGCCTCCTCTGCCCTCTGGCTCCTTATCTACCCACTTCTCATGCTGCTTGGGCCTCTGGCCTTCCCTACACTCTGCCAACTTGAGAGCAGGTGCATGCCCACAGCAGCTGGTCCCCACATGCCCACCCAGGGCTTGGCAGGCAGCAGAGCTTATAAAAGTTTGTTGAATGACTCTGTGCTGGGCTCCCAGAAGAGGACAGGAAAGGAAAGGACAGGAAGGGCAGCCCCTGGGTCCCTGACCCGTCCACACCTGTGATCACTTCACTGAGCTTGTGCTGGTCGTCATGCTTGCTCAGGAGGTCAGCCAGGCCCACGACCACCAGGCCCGCGATGGTGGCGAGGATGCCCAGCCACTGGCTCAACACCAGCCTCCGGCCCAGGAAGGCCACTGAGAACAGGCCTGTGAAAATGATTACTGCTCCACGCAACATCTGGAAGCTGGAGGCGCTGGTCATGCTCAGGGCTAGGAGAGGACAGACACATGACATTAGCTCCCGAGGGCCAAGCCTGTCTGTTCACTGAGGTGTTCTTAGGGCTGAGGATGTGCCTCTCACGTGGTATGTGCTCAGTAAATCTTGGGGGAGTATGTGTTTGTGGAAGTCTGTAGGAGAGGGGCAGGGGTGAGGTGAAGATGAGCTGGGGTAGGGGTGGCTGCTTCGTCAATGGCCCCCTGGCCTGGCTACTCACCCACATACATGATGCTGGTCCCGGTCATGTCACAAAGGGCTGGGGGCAGGAAAAGAAGGGGGTTGAAGGGCTGCTCGGGATCCACGCTGGCATCTGGGTGCCTCGCAGCTCTGCACCGGAGCAGGTAGAAGGCAGCCAGGCAGGAGAACTCCCCCAGGAACATGCCCACTGCCTGCAGGGACAGAATCCTAGTTGCTTAGAGCTGGAAGGAGGATCACCTTTAACAAATTTCTTTTTTAACACAACCTTTCTTCAAACAAGAGCTTACCTATAACCTCAACACATGGAACAGGCAAAAGCAAAGCTGCTGTGTTGGGGAGGCCAGAGACTGCCTCCTGTGTCACCTCTAAGCCCCTTGAACATCTTGACACAAACCCTAAGGCTGTATAGAGCCCCGTCTGAAAACCACTGATGTAGGCCAACCCCTAATCAAGTTCCAGATGGAGAAACGGAGGCCCAGAGAGGCTCAGGAACTTATTTAAGGTCACAGAGCAAGCTGCTGGCAGAGCTGGGCTGAAATCTGGGTCTCCTACTTCCCAGTTGAGCAATAAGGTGCCTCCTATTTATGGTGTCTGCTCTGTTCCAGTGGGGTCTGGGCTCCTGGTAGATGGAGAGAAGGCTTTGCTAAGAGGGTAGATGTTTTCCAAAGTGTCCTGACTTAGATGTGGGGAGGGCCAGCTCACAGTGCCCAGGGCATGACTGCTTGCTCAGGCCTCTCACAGAGGACTGTGCCCTCTGCTCCCTTCCAGGGGCACTCACACTCTGGCCTCTGTTCTGGGGAGGGAGACAGAGAAACAGGTAGCTCTTCTGGGAGCCGAGGAGGACTCCACCCCTAGGTCAGGAAACAGCAGGGCCTCTGGGGCCCCTGGCCTGAGGCCTGGGAGACAGGAGGTGGGGAGGGACAGGGCAGATACCTGCAGGAAGGGATGCTGGAAGCTGTGCTCCTTGCTTCCTCCGCAGCCCTGGGCTACGAAGTTGTCCGCCCACCTGCAGCAGAGAGAGAGAGAAGGTCAAACCCTGTACTGCAGAGGGTGCCTACTCAATGCCAAGAAGCCATACTTAGGGGACTCAACCCAGAGTGGGGCTCCCTCTCAAAGGGGCCAGTCTCCGGGGCAAGGAGTCTTCACCAAGGATCATGGACAGAATGTGGGGGCTGGGAACCTTTAGCTGAAATGTCGTAAACCTCTAACTGAAATGAAGCATTTCCTCAAATTATGAATGCAGCATTGTAGTACCTGTCACTTTGTCAAACAGAAACCACCGCTATTCTCATGATCACATTAGGGTCATTGTAGATATTATGAAGGATCATTTACACTCATCACTGCTCCAAAGTTAGAGTAATTAGACCCACTGCTTATAATTTTATGTGCTAAGAAGCGTATACACTCACATATTACTATATCATAGATTTGTCTTTTTAATGTTTTGATAACTTTATTTCAGCCTAGTTGGCTCTTTCTGTAATCCTCAGTCTTTTTTTTGCACATTTTATTTTTTTAATCCTTACTGGAGGATACNGATAACTTTATTTCAGCCTAGTTGGCTCTTTCTGTAATCCTCAGTCTTTTCTTTGCACATTTTATTTTTTTAATCCTTACCGGAGGATATTTTTTCCATTGCTTTTCAGAGACACTGAAAAGGGGAGGGGGGTGGAGAGAGACATCAATGTGAAAGAGACACATTGATTGGTTGCCTCCCACATGCACCTCGACAGAGGCTGGGGATCGAGCCTGCAATCCGCGTACATGCCCTTGGCCAGAATCGAACTGGGACCCTTCAGTCCTCAGTCCACTCTAACTACTGAGCAAAACCAGCCAAGGCTTCTTGGCACATTTTAAAACATTACTTTAGGATTCACCAGATTATTAAAGGGACCCATGGCACAAAAATATCAAGAGCCACTGTCTACAGGGCACTTGGGCCCTGGGAAATGACTGCCTGACACAGACCACCTGGCCACCTTCATATGACCTGAAGGGCTTGGAGGGTCTTTCTAGCACAGACTCTAAAGCAGGTGGCAAGTATCTGGTGCCAGTGGAGTGGCCTCCCTGCCAGCACCCTGGCAGACGGCATAACAGATTATGGCTCACTTCCCCAAAGAGCCCACACACAGGCCCAGAATCCTTCGCGGCACAGGGCGCTGGGCAGCCACCACCAACATTCTGCACTGGTCCACCGTCTGTGCGCTAGAGCTCCCGCCCTTGAATTTCATTTTTGCTGTGCTTAGTTGTGTCCCTGTGGTCTAGTCTGATCTCTCTTTCATTTGAAAGCCCTTCAGATTTTTGGAGACTTTTCCACCTGCTGAATCTTCTCATGTCCTGGCCAAACAGCCCGGCCCTTCCTAACCTTTCACTTCCCTGGTTGCCAACTTTTGGAAGCTCTCTGATGGGCCCAGGCCCAGAGCCAAGGCCATGTGATCTGGCCCAGACTGAGCCTGGCAAGACAGTGGCTCCTCCCTCGTGTGGGCTGTCCTGGTTAGTTGACACGACTTTGTCCACTTTGACTCTGTTCGCTGACTCAAGTTAGTTGACACAACTTTGACTGTGTCACACTGCTGACTCAAGTCAATGCACTGGCCTGCCCCCTTTGCAGCCCCCCACACAAAGGCATGGCTGTCTCTAAACAGAAAGATTCAGGACTTTTTAAATGTCTTTCCTTGCCATGTCAGTCAAGAGCAGCCACACTCCAGAGTTATCTTCGCTCAAGCCTGAGCTCCTAAAGGGCAGGGGAGCCTTCTGCCTCCTGTGCCCTCAGCAGAGCCACTGGTTGTGCCAGGCAGTTAGTGCCTGGGTTTGACAAACATCGTGTCCAGCCCTGGCTTCTCTGTGCCCCGAGTGTGGGGAGGGGAACAGGAAACTCTTCCCCACAGCCCAGGGCAAGGGCATGATGCCCAGATGCTGGCAGTGGGAAGGGGGCTGAGTGGCGGTGGAGCTCCTGGTCAACCGTGAGGGCAGCACAGACCTGTGAGGGAGGGACCACGTCTGCTCAGATATCTGAACACATCCCAGGGCGAGTGAACACACAGGGCTAAGGCAAACTTATCCCACAGAGGGAGGCCCCGATCCACTCCGAGATGCGGAGTAAGAGGGGCAGTTAGGAGGGCTTGTGGTCCTTCGGAATGACGAGGCCCAAAGGAGAGCTGCAGGGCGGGGAGAGTTCTGATGTGGCTGGCTGGGAAGGCAGAGAGAAGTCTGGGTCAGGGGGCCAGGCTATAACCAGTGCCGGTACCGATGGAGAAAGGAAGCACTCACTGTAGAATAAAATGCCTGCTCTCTGGGGTCTGATTTCTGCGTGATCTGCTACAGGTTCTGGCTCTGGGATCCCCAGGGAGGACAGGACATGGGATGTGCGTGGGGGCCACAGGCAAACTGCGGCTCAGGGCAGGCCTGCTTTACAACCAGGCTAGCTTTTTCAGGAAGAGCCCCATGGGAGGGCCTGGGTAGCGGGGCAACTGAGTGAAACGGAGGGGAAGGAGTGAAGAGGTCAACTTTACCAAAGGCACTGAGCCAACTTCCCTGGGGAAACTGAGCAGGTTGGGGAGATGGGAATTCCCGGGGCTGGAGCCAGGGCTCCTCTAGGAGGGGTAAGGGAGGTCCTGACAAATCCATGAGGTCAACCAGAAGCCTAGGACAAGGGCAGGTATGGAAGCCCCTTCCTCATCTTAGGGTCACATCCAGAGCAGAGATAGGCAGGCTCAAGAGGACCCCCAGATCTAGTGGTAGAGCCACCTGCCAGACCCCACTACCTCCTACACAACTTACAGCAATGAAACCCACATCTGTTTCACTTTCTGGTTCCACACTGTCATTTCAGAGTGTACGTTCAGCATCCAGCAGCTTCCCCATCTTTCAGTCTCCTGCTCCCGGCACGTTATTATAGAGAAGCTCAAACACTGTCTGGTTGAATGAATGAGACTTCCAGACCCCTCCAAGCAAAGAGGCAGGTACATACAGTCCAGAGGCAGTGCCTCATGAGTCCTAATTTCCCACCTGGTCTGAGGTGCCCACTGCTGGTGGGACAAGCTGGGCCTGTCTTTTCCCAGGGCGGGGCACTGTGTGGGGAACTGGATGCAGGGTTGGTGCTGAGCTCCCTTCCCCCCACCCCAAAGAGCTGTCTTTGCTTTCTCCAAGGGGTGGGTCTGTCTGAACAGGTTGGGGCTGGCAGCATTCCCAGCTTGGGAAAAGGAGTCGTTTTGTATCTGAGGGCCTGGGGATGGCTCACAGCCCAAGGGATTAGGTATCATTAGGACAGCTTGCCTTGCCCAGCCTCTCTTCAGGCCAGGGAGATCGGGCAGGGAGGAGATCAGTCCAGGGAGGTGATCAGGCCAGGGAATAGATAAAGCTGGGGAACAGATCAGGCCAGGAGATCACACCAGGGAAGAGATGAGGCCAGGGAGCAGATCAGGCCAGGGAGGAGATCAGGCCAGGGAGGTGATCAGGCCAGGGAGGAGATCAGGCCAGCAGACACTTTGGGAGGAGTTAGGCTTCCCGTCCTGGCCCCGAGACAGACTTCAATTCATTGCACAGGCACAGAAGGACCTCAGGTAGGACAGAACAAGAGCCAAAATTCAGTCCCAGGTCATCTGGGGATGACAGCAATGACCCCTAGAGGCGGGTAGCACTTGGCTATTTGCAAAACATGTCACTAAAATGTTTTTATAAATATAGGGTTCAATGAGCACTAACTTTGTGCCAGGCCTATGCTGAGCACTTCCCATGGGTTGTCTGGTTTAAGTCTCACATTAAGGATCCTCATTTTACAGACATGGACTTCAAGGAGTAGGGTGGGGCAGTGGCGAGAGGCATGTTCAGGCTCATACAGTTAATAATAGGCAGATCTAGGCCCAAACCCATGTGCTCGAATCAACATTCAGAAAAGGCAGCAGGCTACATGGGAAGCTGATTTTGAGCCTTACAGACTAGATAGTCTTCTTATCTATAAAATGGGGGTAATACTGATAAATTGTGAAAATAAATAAAATAAGATAATATAAGACTTGGTGCATGGCAGATGGTCGACCAAAGTTCTCTTCTGCCCCTCTCCCTTTCCCTCTCTATTGAGCAGGAGCCACAGCCCCTTGTGTTAACATCAGGCTCAGCTCCAGCATGGAAGCTTCTGGGAGGGCATCCATTCTCTGGACCTACCCAGCTGGCTGAGACACAGGCTGCTGGAAGGGCCTCAGGCTACTGCTCCAGCAGTTCTACAGAGCCACATACACAGACGAGGAACCCAGGGACCAGAGAGGAACACAGGCCCGTGAGATGCCCAGAAGGGCTGGTACTCAGGAGTTTCTGCCTCCAGTTCTGAACCCTCTCCTCACACTTGAGGTTTTCCTATTGCCTTCTTACTCCAGTTTCTTCCCACTCCCCTGGCTGGGGTGGGGAGAGGGTGGACTGCAGATGGGCCCTTCATTTTCTGTAGATACTGTTTCCAGGGGAAAGCCATGGTCTCCAGCATAGGAGGCCAGTAGGGACCCACCAGGGTCAGGCTGAGGCCACATGAGGAGCTGCCTCTGCCAGCACAGGCTGGTTTCTCTTAGAGTTCCCTGGGCCTCGGCAGGCGGGGGTGGGCTCCCGCTGATGGGGGTGAGTCACTATACACAGCCTTGCCCAGTCAAACTCAAAGCTCAGCGTTCTGACAGGCGAGCAGGTCTGTGTGTGGGCCAGGGTGGTGGCCTGAGATGGAGGAAGTGGCTGCTGTGGCTGCCTCAGGCGGATTGGCTGTGTGTCCACTCCCTGCAGAATCTCTGCCATTTCCTCTCAAGTTCCCGGCTCGTCCAGCCCAGTGAGTCAGCTCCTTTCTCCCACAGTGGGATCTACAGAAGGGCCCCAGGGCTTCTCCACTCTCTAGGGTATACCTGGCTCACATGGTAACAAATGAGGACGAGCCCTCTCATCTCTAAGTACAATTTGGAAACCTTCCTCAGTAGATCTTACCTGTGTCTGGGAAAAAGGTGGGAAGTTACACCCATTTTACAGATGAAACTGAGGCCTGGAGAGGCTCAGCAACTCATCCAATCCCACAGCTTCCAGGTCTCACGCTCTTTCCACTCTACTGTACTGCCTTCCTGATTTGAGCCCCTCTCTAGTTGGCCCAGGAACCCTTTAGAAGCAATTACCACATGCCAGCTCACGGAACTCAAAGGTGAGTGCAAAAGCCAAGGCAAAACTTAGAGCTGGCAGAGAAAGGACAATGAGAGTCCTACCAAAATAGAGGCCCATGGTCTTAGGCCTCTCGCCACTTTTCTGGCAGGGTCCCTGGACCCAGCAGGCCTGGCTGGTGGAGGGAGAGTCACTCCCATAGCCCCTCTCTAGCTGGGTGAGCTTTACAACCTGTAGACGTTTAGGAGGGGATCTGGGCCTCTCTTAGTGAATGTCCACTTGACTCTGTTCTTTACATGCAGAACCCCAGCTGGATTCAGGAAAACGGGGCTCCGAAATGGGCACCACCCCATAGAGGCACTAGTATAGGCAGAGAGCCCTGAGTAGTGCAGAGGAAGGCGAAATGTGTGGTCTCCAGGGGACACATCAGCAGAAGGTCCTCGTGAGGGCGTGAAAGCAGCCACAGAAAGGAGAAGGAGCCACAGGAAGTGACCCTCTGCCAAGACCCAGGGACAGGGCTAAAGAGACAGCCTGCCTGGTAGCTTTCCCTCCTGTGGGCACATGACTCCCGCTCCCTTCCCAGCCAGGACAGGCCCATCTCCCTGCAGCGCACCCAAACCGCTGAGCAGGCAGAGGGGCCTCTCCAGTGGTGAGCTGACCTGTGGTCCCCGCAGCAGGCAGCGCGTGCTCACGCTCACTCCCTCATTCACTATCTGGGGCTCCCGGGACCCGGGAGGGAAACACGCTCACCTTCCAGGCCGAAAAACTGCAAGAGGCTACTAGAGACTCTAAACCTGAACCTTGCGTGGTCTCTGGCTCCAAGGGGAAAACAAGCAGGGTGACAATAGGACCCCCTGGGTTGGGACAGAGGCTTGTTGCCCAGCCCCAGAGGTAGGGTGCTCTGAAGGCAGGAAGGGGAGATGGCACTTAGAGGATCACACCTCCCATGGGCAGACGTTTGTTTGTTCTTGTCTGGGGAGATGTGAGAGGAAATCCCAAGGAAGAGGGACTCCTGGGTACTGCAGTTGTAAAGTAACAGGACTGGACTACAATGCTGAGACCTAGATTCTGGTCTCTGCTCTGACACCAACCAGCTGAGTCACAAAAAGAA